AAAAAAAAAAAATGACGTAGAATCTGAAAAACACCGCATAACGTGGATGAACTTGGAGGACATTATGCTGAATGAAATAAGTCAATCACAGAAGGGCAAAAATTATATTAGTCTATTACCGTAAAAAGGAAATGTTTATATATGGAAGGACATTTTCTTTGTTGGCCTCCAAGGGAGGGAGGGAACACTGTTACATAGGTAGAGACAAGTATTGATTTGGGTGAAGTGAAGGGCAATGTACCAAATGTGAATAATCAACATGGTGGCACTGAGGAAGAGGAAGACATAGAGAGGTACATGGGAGGTACAGATAATAAAGACAAACCCTTGTGCACACACAGTATTGTGTTGTCAGTGAAGGCAAATACTGATATATAGGTGGATAGATGGGTGGTTAGTCTAAATCATTAGGTACATCCATGCAGGGGGGAGTGTGCCCAAGACCATGTATAGAGTTGGCAAACAATGTTTCTACAAGTGTATGTGTATGTTCTATAAGAATTCCCAGGTATACTAGAACTGACAAGGGGCAAGGTTGCAATCATGTCCTGGCCACAGCCAGCTACCAAGAAGGAGCGAGGAGTTGGACCTATGGGTTCGGGACCATAGTCTCAGGGGATATCAAGTTCAACTGGCATAACATACTACACAAAAACATTGTTCCACATCCTTCTTTGGCGAGTAGCCACTGGGATCTTAAAAGCTTGCAAGTGGCCATCTAGATGCAACAACGGGTCTCTCTTCGTCCAGAGCAAAGAAGAATGAAGAAAACCAAAGATTCATGGAAACAATTCGACCAAGCAACTGGTGCACCAGGCGATCCTCAGCCTATATGACTATGAGACCAGAAGAACTAGATGGTGCCCAGCTACCACTGTCAACCATTTGTAGGGGGTTCTCTGTAGGCGATTCTGGATAGAGAGGGACAACAATGCAAAACAAAACTCAAAATCATTAAAAAAAAAAAAAGAGGACCAGGTTTGCTGGTCTGACAGAGCCTGATGGAACCACTGAGACTACAGCCCCTAGTTGCCTTTTAGGTCTGGAATTGAACCCATTCCTGCGGCTCCCAGCCAAACAAAAGACAGGCATGTGAGCTGAACATTTATAATAGGTAGATCCACTCCTTGGAGAGATCAATCGTGGGAGAATAGAAGGGCTGTGTATGCACAGGGAGACAGCTTGGGGGGTCGGGGGCGGGTAGGAGTGCATGGGAGGGAAGGACACAGGGAAGAGGTAACTATGGGGAGGAAGTGGGAGGGGAGCTGTTGCATTGGGGGAAATTGCAGTCGATGTCATGAGACAAAGTGTATGTGAACTGCTGTATGGAAAGTGAATTTGCTCTGTAATCTTTCACCCAAATCACAATTAAAAAAAAAAAAAAGTTATGGACAGAGGTTCACAAACACCACTGTAATCTAGTAGCTAAAACACCACAAAATTGGACAAAATCAGCAGCTGTAGGTCAGCAGCAATAAAAGCAGTGCCATGCTTACAGCACATCCTCGTCATTGTGCAGTAACAGCAACTGAGTGGAGCTCCCGTTTTTACAGAAATAGATCTTTGTCCTATGGAGCAGCTGGAGGTTCGAACCACCCAAGTTTTGGTTAGCAGCCAAATGCCTCAACCACTGCATCACCAGAGCTCCTACATAACTAACTATAGTGATATTTTTATTAAAGAAAATAAATTTTTGCTGAAAAACTGCAGAAAAATTTTACAGATGGTCATTTTAGTATCACTCTCTCTGACAGTGCCACCCAGTGTGGTCCACATTTCCTTAGTGACACCTCTGGGGAGGACTGTGTTATCGTCGCACTTGTAGGAAAAACACATGCTTACAGAAAGCCCTGGATATCATTCAATTCTCTGCAAAGTCTGTCTAAAATTACTGCTAGGAGTGCTGAGAACGTCGGGACTACATGCTGTCAGAGAAAACACACCCAGTCTCTGAAGACAGCTGTATTCCCAGTATTCACACTCCCATCTGTGGGACACATCTGAAGCTGTCTGTACCCACACCCCCACCTGTGGGACACGTCTCTAAAGCCGACTGTACCCCCACCCCCACCTGTGGGACACGTCTCTGAGGCCGACTGTACACCCACCCCCACCTGTGGGACACATCTCTGAAGCTGACTCCGACTGTACCCCCACCCCCACCTGTGGGACACGTCTCTGAGGCCGACTGTACCCCCACCCCCACCTGTGGGACACATCTCTGAAGCTGACTGTATTCAGTGTCACACACTTCCTGAGACCTGCACCCCGGGGGGTAGATTTAGGGAAGGGTAGGGACTGTGAGCTGGATTCAGGTCAGCACTGTCCTCAGGCATTTACCTAACTCTTCTTCATTTTCTTCACCTGAAGATGAAGATGGTGAGTAAGTAATCTTAGAGGGAGTTCAGTGTTCTACCAGTTGATACGCTGTCCTGGGTTTGTGGGAAGGCTCTATCAGTTACTTGTCGTTAGTCCTTTCAAGGTTCAGTTCAGACACCACTTCCTTGTCACATAGGCAGCCAGCCCTCCCAGGGGTTTGCACAGATGACCTCTCTATGGCCCTGTCGTCGTATTCAGTTCCTCTCGGGGCCCAATGCAGTTTGGAGGCTCACAGATGTTCATGGGACATCATGTTTAACTCAAGAACCTTAACAGCAGCAGGTGACACCTCCCCTACAGGAGCCACTGGGGTTCAGGGGAGGGTGCAACTGGAACAGGCGTTGTGGAAGTGGCACTACTACAGGCTGAGAATGGGCACGGTAACCCTGTAGGGAAAGCATTCCAGCCCCAGGAGAACCCAGGAGCCAGAGGGACAAGCCAAGAGCAACTGCCCCAACGCTCAGCCCGACTGCAGGCCAACAGTACTCACGCTCGGGACCGTGGCACTCTTCTTGCGTTCAGGGATGTCTGCCTTGTTGGGATTGCTGGCATTCCCGAGCATGGGGCTGGCGGGAGCAACAACTTTTCCTCCCGCAGCACTGCCGCTCGACTTCCGGACAGGAATCCCATCTTCTTTGAGGTCACTGTCTGCGGTGCTGGTCTGACTCCTTTTGGGATACGCCACAACGGAAGGAATGGCCGGGCCAGCTAAAAACAGAATTCACTTTTTTAAAAAGTCAGAAGAGCATTTCACATTTGGGCCTGTGGAAAGAAACATGTTTGGTGAGCTCCCCAAAGACTGCATTCGTCTACAACACGTAACACAGTAAAATCCTTGAAGATGCTCCCCGTTTATGTATTTCCCTTATCAATGAGTTCAACTTTGAGATTTCACTTATTAGTCCCTAATATGCTACTTTTTCTTCAAGATTCTGCTCCACAACTAAGCTTCGACAGCTGGCCACTGGCAACAACACTGTACAGCATGTCACTGCACACTGAGTCATCAAAGGGGCTGAATGCAGGCAGAAAGGTGGCTCGCCTGGTGGGGGAGCAAATCACATCCTTTTCTGAATGAACAGAACAATACAGATTTTATGGACGATTTCTTGTGCCATTTTTTCTTAGACTTTAAGAAGAGCTCATAAGAAGTTTATGGGTGTCTAATAATTTTTACTGTGCTAAGGGGTCGGGGTGAGCATTCTATGCAGAAACCCTTCTAGATCAACAGGACTCTGAGCAGACTGGGGCTGGGGTGAAGCAGAGGGAAGCAAGCCCCTGGTGTGAGCAGCAGGAGGAAGTGGACACAGGCTGTCATCCAGACAGGGTGCAGGATTCCGAGGGCTGCAAGCGACCAGGTGTAATTTTTCATCTTTGGCATTAATAGTTGGGATGCAGATTTAAGTACTAGTTGTATTAACAGGTCTTTCTTGTAGGTGATGGATATTATTCTATCTCTGACAGCTTTGTATTTCAGGATCAATTTTGGAATGTTCCTTTTGATGAAGGTGACCATCCCTCTTGTCATTCCCAGCCTAGGAGACCATAAGACAGTCTGATTCACAATGGCCAGGACCAGTCCGTTTCAGACTCTAACGACTGGATCGTGATCTGTAAGCACTCCATTTCTAACAACTTTCACATTTCCTTTATTCTTACTTTTTAAACTCTGTATTCCAATTAACAAATGTTTGCAGCTGTTTCTTCTCACTCTGAATCATGCCTCATCAGCAAATGAAGATCCCAAAAGCTTTATTTCATCCACATCATTAAGGTCAGTTGACTCTACTTTGAGGCGGCAGGCTTCTCCTCCAGTGCATTTCTGAGAGTTTTCCAGCCTGAGGGGCTCGTCCTCCAGCACCGTCGCTGACAAGACTCTCTGTCATCCATGGAGTTTCCACTGGCCGATTCTTTCAGAAGCGGACGGCCCCCCTCTTCCGAGGCTCCGTGTGAACTCTGGTGAAGCGGACGGCCCCCCTCTTCCGAGGCTCCGTGTGAACTCTGGTGAAGCGGACGGCCCCCCTCTTCCGAGGCTCAGTGTGAACTCTGGTGAAGCCTGTCTGCTGCAGGTGATGCTGCTGGCACCTGAAATCCCAGTGGCACAGCTTCCGCACCACAGCATGTGCACGTCACCACAGTACAACAGAAGGACGGACGGATGGCAGTGAGTGCGTGAACGTGAGGAATGCAGTTCCTCTGCCGCATGACACAGAGAGGGTGCTGTGGTCACTGCAGAGCGTTGGCAAGATGGTGCTGCTCCAGCAAGTCCACGTGACACGGAGGTGGGGAGGACAGCGAGCAGAGAGCTGCCGACTGGAGCAGGGGGCCTTCCCAGCAAAAGCTTACGAATTTACCAAGGAGGATGGAGCAGTGGGGTCCTCACGCCAGTTCTCGTACAAAGGCTAAGAAAGAAATGTCAAGATGGGAAGGCCAGCCGGCCCCTAGCCCTAGGGGGTCATGGCCCAGCATTAGGATATCTGTGCAGGGCAGCTGCAGACTTACCATGGTCACTGTACCGCCTCTGCTTCTGGCTCGAGGAGACACTTCTCTGCACCTTGTGGTGAGGCGATTGGCCAGTGCTGTTGTTGAGGTCACTGCTCGGCCTGACCTTAGCAAGTGAGAGATTGCTGCTAGAACTGGAGTCACTAGCATCCAGCTAGAGAAAGTAAGAAAAACGGGCAAAGCACAACACGAGCCCAGAGGGCCCATTAGGACACTCAACTGGAACCCTCTCCTAATACAGTGCACTCAGAGAGAAGCCACGCACCGCACAGAACAGCAGTCCTTCACCAGGGGACTGGGGACACCCACCAAGGAAGTGCACTGTGACCTCCTCTCTAGGCCTTCCTGAATAAGCAAAATGCTCTATTTCATCTGTACTTTAACGATATAGGACAACTTATGAAAGCCAAGTTTGTGACAATATCCATCAGTTAAGGCTTATTATCTTGAAGTTAAAACAGTCATTCATAATGGTCATAGGAATTAATTTGTCATTTACAGGTACATTTAAAAAGAAAGTAAAAACATGTCACAGATATTTTAAAAAGCTAAGAAAACAGTTTCTGTGAAGTGAGAGTTTACACAAAGAGTATTTGCCATTTCCTCTAGGACTACTCTTACCTCTGACGATTTTCTCCCCAACAACAAGTAAGTAGCGGTGATCTCGTCGTATTTCATTTTACTAAGAGATTCTTGAATTTCTTCTTGTGAATATCCCATTCCCACCATAATATCTACAAGAAGGGTACAGAGCAGTTTGTGTGTTTGGTTTGGGTAAGCAAACATTTGTTTCAGGCTAAAATAACTTCCCTTGTTTGACCTAAAAAATGATACACTTCCTAACATGAAACGGTAGTTCACTTATTTCTGAGTTATTAGATGTTTACAAGAAACTGCAGCTAAGTTCTTGAAGATGACCAAACAGATAAGCTGATTCACGAACTTGTGCTTCTCTGTCCTATGTTCCCACCCTTGGCATGTCCTCAGGAATCATCACACAAACATGGTACTTGTACCAACACACACACATGCGGCTGGGCAGAGAAATTACCGATTCTCTTCTGGTCTGAGATGTTGAGCTCTGGTTCGACGAACGGCTTTAGCTCCTCCTCCTCGTGCCCTGCATTGATCCACCTGTCCCTCATGATTTGCTGAAAAGGTGAACTGTGTATTAGTAGCATAAAACCAGAAGGTACACAGATAGGGCAATACTTAGGAAAAGGGATTTTCAAAACTGCACTGATCATAACTCAAAGGGGAATTTAAAAAAAAATTAGTCTCAATTCCTAATTAAACCATCCCAGGAAGATCTTCGATACATCCCACGAACCAGGCAAATGTCTGACAATGATTTCCACTTATGTGATTACCTCCAGAGTGCCTCGTTTAACTGGGTTTAGCACCAGGAAGCGTTTGAGAAGGTTCTCACAGTCTGTGGACATGTAGAAAGGGATTCTGTATTTCCCTCTTAATACTCTCTCTCTCAGTTCCTAGGGGGGTGGAGGTGGAGTACAGAGAGGAAAGAAACAAGTGAATCCACTTTTAGGTTAGAAAAGAAACCTAAACCAAACCCTCCCCGGAAAGCCCCACGCCAACTGCTGTCACAGTCCACATTCACCCACGTTCGTCCATCAAATCCTTGTAGGTCTCCTAAGCCCACAGATGCAACAGCTCCCCCTACCTTTAGGTTCTGCCCGTCGAAAGGAAGTGACCCGCTGACTAGCGTGTAGAGAATGACGCCCAGGCTCCACACGTCCACCTCGGGTCCGTCGTATTTCTTGCCCTGGAAGAGCTCCGGGGCTGCGTATGGAGGACTGCCACAAAACGTGTCCAGTTTACTGCCAACAGTAAATTCATTGCTAAAACCAAAGTCTGCTATTTTAATGTTCATATCAGCATCTAACAATAGATTTTCAGCCTAGAGGGAAGACATCAAGACAAAATGAAATTTAACCAGAATATAAACGGAAGTGTCAGAATCAGGTGTTTCATAAAAGCTTTCTGTACGATCTAAAGTGAATACAGCCTACTGAGTGAAAGGAGAAAGCATTCTTCCCGGGGAAAAACCAGGAGATCAAAGGGATTTCAGCACTAATTTAAACTGCAAACGCCCCACAATTAAGAAAAACTGGACAACTTTTTCAATTATCAATAATAAAGGGTTTTTTAAAAAAACGGGTACTTGATTTAACATGGATAGAAAAGGGCTAACGTGCTATACAAAGGCAATGCCTGGGGGTGTCCACAAACCTCACCAGAGAACTCAGTCACTCCCCCTTATTTCAACAAGTCTCCCCTCCCCCGGTGATGACATTAATGTCTGGATATAAAATGGTGAACAAGACATACAGGACCCTGCCTTCAAAGAGCTCACAGTTCAGAAGGGAGAGACAGACATCAACAGCCACACTAGTGTCAATGTGGAGACAGGGAGGTGAGGGGAGCTGTGGGACCGGCATGGGAAGGTTCCAGAAGGCGTCTGAGAGAAGTGAAATCTGCGCCCATGCTTGGAGGACCAGAAGATGTAGCTGACAGCAGTGGGTGCATCAGAGGAAGGGTATTTCAGGAAGAACAAACTGTCGGAAAACCCAGAGGTGAGAGCAAGCTTGTTATTCAAGGACTGGAGGCAGTGAGCAGGACAGGAATGCGGGGAGGAGGCTGCGAGAGGCCAAGGCCCACTCACCAAGGGCTGTCAACTTTCACACTTAGGGCCTTGAGGAAGCCACTGAAGAGTGATCTGCCAGGGAAAAGATCGTTTGATTTGTGTTTTAAGACCATGCAGGCTGCAATGTGGAGAACAGCCATGGAAGGAAGAGGTGTGCTGGGGCAGTATCGCGACCAGACAAGAAGCTATGTGGTAGTCAAGCAAGAGGGAGCCGGGGGTCTCTACGAGGGTGGTGGTGACAGGGACAGAAAAGAGTGCACGAGCTCAAGAAACACTCAGGAAGCAGGAGCCAAAGGACAGTCAAGTAACTGAGAGGGAGGCACCCACAGGACGTCAGTCACTGGGATGAGAAACACCCCACTTTACGGGAACGGGTCGGGCTAAGAAGCGGCTGAGCCTAAAGAGTCCTTCTGTCAGTCAGATGCTGGGTCCCAGCAGAGCTCTGGCTGAGGGATGGATCCGGGCTCAGTGGCATTCAGGTGGCCACTGAAGCTGCCGGAGTAGATGAGGATGCCTTGAAGGTGGGGGTGGAGAGGACCAAGCATGCCAAAGACAACTTCGTGAGGAGCGAGTACCAAGTGCAGGAATCTGGACAGTGCTCCCAGAAATGGGGTTGTGAGGGTGAAGAGAGAGGAGGGATGCCTCCCAGAGGGGGACTGGGGAAGTAAGGTGTTTTGGTAAAAGGTGGCACAGCTTTGGGTGTGTGTCACTGCTGCCGTGACAATCAATGGGGAAAGAGGGAGGAAGAAGAGAAACAGCGCAGGAAGCAGCCAAGAGCAGCATGCCTGGGCATGAGGGAGGAGCAGGAGCCAGGTCCCAGAAGGAAGGTGGCAGAGGTGACCCTTCTCCGGGACAGGAGGTGAGGAGTGAAGGATGGTGCAGAGGCAGTAGAGCCTGAGGCCTGCTGGGAAATGGAGAGTTTCCTCCTGGTGCATCCATCCTTTCCATGAAATAGGAAACCCCATTCCATGCTGACGGAGGGCAGTGGTGGGAGGGTGGGGGCCCATCAAGGTCTCAAGGAGCCACTGCTGCTCAAGGCCAGGATGCTGGTGGGGGGGACAGGCAGCTCAAGGAGGCCGTCCGGGGGAGACGACATGTTGGGGAGGCCCCATGTGTTAGGCCGTGTGAGGATATTCCCCATGTGAAATGTGTCTAATAACCAGACCACCTTTTTCCTCAAGGAGTCCATCAGGACAGGACCGAGTCTCTCCTATTCAGTAACACCATCTACCTGTGCCCACGCAGCTCCTCACCTTGAGGTCTCTGTGGACGATGTGCTTCTGGTGGCAGTACTGCACCGCAGACACGATCTGCACAGGGACAGGCGAGGGTGACAGTCAGTGTCGGTGCGACTCACACTCAGATGAACACATCCCACCCACGTCCATACGCGACGTGCTCAGCGAGCACGCCCACGGGTGCGTGTGGAGCTCCAAGAACGACTGTCTTCAGGGGGCTGCTCTTCCCATTCTCTCCAGGTGCAGCTCTGCCATTCCAGCTGTTCTGAAGAGTGAGGCGGGGCTGGCTGCCCCAGGCCGAGCACCAAGGCTCCTCTGCAACCTGTCCGTGTCCAGAGACCAACTCGGGCCACTAGGCAGCGAGGGGCCACCTCCGGCAGGCTCTCCTCCATTAACTACTTATCCTGCCGCAGGACATGTGTGTGGGTTCAAGGAGAGCTAAAGTTACATAACCTCTGAAGATCACTTTCCTCTTTCTTAAAATGGAACAGTGGCGGCTGTGATGCCATGTCGGTGAGGATGCCCCAGTCCAGCAAACCAGGGCTCTGAACCAGTTCCTCCCAGTTCAGTCAAGGCCGACAACCAGAAGGGGAAAAATTATGGGTCCACAGCCTACTAGAAACAATCTCCCTTCTAGGAAACAAGGACAGCACACGCACTGCATAGCAACCAAATCTGTTGGCCGTTAAAATGCCTGACAAGGGGGCCTGACTCAAAGCCTACTATGCTGCTTTAAATGCGTGTTGCTCCCCACAGTCCTGGCAACAACCCAGTGCCCCATATCAGGGCTCACTACACCCTTCCCGCATCTCCTATTCCAGGGCATCAGCCCATACATTTTCCTGTTCCAATTAGTGTTCTGGTACACCCACATTTTACAAATTTGGGTCTGTTTCCAATTTCACCATGTTGGCCACGACTAAACTGGTTTTAAGCCCTGCAGCCAACAGTGTTTTCTTCTGTTTGTTTGTTTTTTACATTAGTCCACTCCTCATTGATCCTGGGACTAGTAATGCTAACTAAACCACTGTTTTAATGACATTTTTTCTTACTGTTGTTTTTGTTGTTATGTGCCGTTGAGTTGGACTGACTCATAGCGACCCCTCCTTGGGTTTCTGAAGCAGTATCACTATGGAAGTAGATTGCCCCATGCTTTTTCTAATGAGAAAAGTTTACATGCTCATCATAGAGATTTTAGGAAACAGATATATGTGTAAGCAATCCCCAATCCCACCAGCGAGACTGGGTTTCTTGTCGTTCTAGTGCATGCCAAAACACATGTGATTACACACATCCAAAACTGGGTTATAATGAAAACACTGTTTCCCCAAATCACCATCAACTCTTAACTGGAAGCCACCTGTGCCTACCTCTGTGGGACTTAAGATCTCAGAGGAGGCTGTTCTACAGGTTGAGGCTGAAGTTCAGTATAAGCAGCAAAGGGAAGTCACGGTGAGCTAGGACACGAAGATGCCAAGTCAGGGTCTCACCAAATGCCTCATCACGTAATGGAAAATGAGTATCTGGAAATCCAACCAACTTATACCTAATGCAAGGTGCAAATGCCCCAAGCCAAGATTGGAAGTGAATCGCAAAGCAGCCGTCCCCTTGGGCTGTCAAAGCTACTGTGAAACTCTGTAAGCATGGCGACTGGACAAGTGAAGCACTGCTTTCCCGAAACAAGGTGCTAAGTTGTCAGCTCGGCAAATTCTCTCTCACCACTGCCTGCTCCAACTTCTTCCCTTCTCCTGTTTACTAGCAGTGCTTCTCTGAGTTTTTCCTCTCGTATGGAAATTTCTCTTGTAGGTTTATGTTCAAATTCCTTCGAATGGATTCCACAACACCCTGTCCTTTCTCCAAGACATTCTCTTCCTTGAGCTAAGACTCTCAACGCCCACCTGCCACCACAGCCACCTGCCAGTCACGACGGCTGGCTCCTGCTTCGCTGCGTTCCTGCTTCAAGCCAGAAGCAGTTGCTTTAAAGAAGGCTGAGGACACGGGTGTCTTCCAGGTTAAAATCTGAAGGCTGCCCACTTCACTTTCAGATGTACAGGAACAAATGGAGGCAAGCACATCATCGAGCCCCCAAGAAAGAGGTGAGTAAACACGATGGAGCCAGGCATCTATTCTTTTTCTTTGACAAGAACAAGAGCTAAGCCAAAAAATTAAAGCTGCACGGGCAGAACTAGGACGGGACAGGAGGTGACTCAAGCCATCGGCTGACGAATCCATAAAGAAGGGGCTAACGGTGGAAAACGATGACACACAGCATGCCTGGTGAGCGGCCGGCCTTCCTCTCTAACAGGAACAGGAAACGTTCTCAGTTGACTTCTGAGCTCCTGACGGGCACAACATGAGAAGTCACAGATGGAGACACATCACGTTTGGTCCATGCAGGTTTAAATGAACTGCCTGAGGGAACCGGCATGGCAGGGAGAAAGGCCACATCAGTGGAGCCAGGCTACCCTGAGACGCAGGTCAGAATGGTGTGCTACACATAGAAACCAGCTGTCCAGGTCCACCCAACAGGGCCCTCAGATGAAGGCATCAGAAATTCTGCAGAGAATGAAAATCCACGCTGAGCGAGCTTCTCAGTTACAGTGAGCACCCTGAGCCTCAAGGTCAGTAAGCCGTATTCACAGAAAAGTGTACGGACAGGCAGCGCCCCCCAGGTGGGAAAGGGCGTAGGCAAAACACCTTGGCTTCGAGGCGGCTGATTTAGAAAAATTACGACTATGCTTATGGAGTGGGCTAAATAGCTCATCTTGGGACAAGGGGAAATCTGAGTTCCCTCCCACAGACACAGAATCAAACACTCTCAGGATGAGAAAGACCTGAATCCATCACATGTAACTTCCTCTTTTAAAGGCTGGCAAAGCTAAGGATCGGGGAAGTGAAGTGATCAGCCAAAGTTAGTTTCAAGTTTGGTATTTAAGAGGTTTTAATTCAAAGTACCATGAACACTTCTTAAGCTTTTAGATTAAACCTGGGCAACAGCTACGGTTACGCACACTTACACGAACGAGCACCCACGGGAGACCAAGCAAACCCAAGGTGGCAGTGGAAGAAGCCGGAAACTCAGCCCAAACAGGGCGGCTCCCAAAGCCCCCACCTCCCTTACTGACAACCGAGACTGAGTGAAACCAACAGTGAAGGGCTCTCAGAAGGCCAGCCTGCGCAGGCTCAGACGCAGACCTTGTCACCGCGGGTGCAGGGTTCCCTCCTTCCACCTCGGTCAGCGCTCAGCAGAGCATGCCTGCTTTTGTAAATGAAGTTTGACTGGAACGCCGTCACGATCGCTTGTCTAGGTGTGAGCATCTGTGGCTATTTCTGCACTGTGACAGCAAAGTGCGTCGCTGCAACACGTCACCTGACCCACGAAGCCAAAACGTTTGCTGTTGGCCCTTTACTGAAGGTTTGCCATTCGAGTCCAGACCACAGTACAAATGAATGATGAAGAACCCAGGCTGTGGCATCGATGAACTGGCCCTGAACACGGCAGCTCTGCTACTTGACACACATGACATCTTGGGTGAGCTGTCTGATCATCTCCCTGTGCCTCAGTTTCCTTTCTCTCTAAAACTGGGAGCCACGCTGCTCCCAAGAGCAATCCTCCTGCAGGATTTTCATTGATGCAGGTAAAGCACGCATCCCAGTGTCCAGCAGCAACGATCAATCAAAAAATAACTTACTATGGTCAAGTTAATTCCAACTCACAGAGCCCCCAGAGGACAAGAGGAAAACTGTCCCATAGGGTCTCCAAGGCTGTCAATCTTCACCGAAGCAGACTATCATATCCTTCCCCTGGGGAGTGGCTGGTGGGTTCGAACTACCAACCTTATGGGTAGCAGCTGAGTGCTTTAACCACTGTGCCACCAGGCTCCTAACAGGAGAGTCAAACCACCTTTATGCCTAAAATCTGCTTGTATTAAAACAAGTGTCTTGTTCAAGATTGGGGCGGAAGACAAGGCAATAAGGGAATCTCCAGTGAACAGATTAGCTTCTGTTTGCCCTTGGCTTATGGAAGACAACATGACTCAGGAACGTGGGGACTGTGACCCTCTTTCCTTGCTAAAAAAAATTCTCACTGTTCATTCTGAAAAATATGTTTTTTTCTCTTTTTTTTAAACTTTTATTGTGGTGAAAACACACACAAGAAGACATTCAGCAACATTGCTTCCCCATTTACGGCTCAGGGACGCTGATGGCACTGTCCCTGTTGGGCCACCGTCAGTGCTGCCCTTTCCCACAATACCCCACCACCGCTGGCATAATTCAGCACCCCGCCAACAAAAACGTCTCCATTTCCCCTCCCTCCTACTCCTGGTAACCACTAATAAAATTTGATTTACAGAAAACCCAACCCAACCCACTGCCATCCAGTTGATTCCGACTCAGAGAGACCTCCATTGGGTTTCCAAGGTGGTAAATCTTTACGGAAGTAAACTGCTGTCTTCCTTCCACGGGGTGGGTGGTGGGTCTGAATCGCTAACGTACAGGTTAGCAGTCAAATGCCTTAAGCACCGTGCCACCAGAGCTCCTTTGCTATGTTGTTGTTGTTGTTGTTTGCCGTCGAGTCGGCCCCGACTCATAGCAACCCCTCCTTGGGTTTCCAAGGCAGTATCACTACGGAAGTAGGATTGCCCAACCTTCCTTCCGAGGAGTGCTGGTTGCTATACGTGTCCATATACTTACATATACATATACATATGTAAGGAGCTCTGGTAGCATAGTGCCTAAGGCATTTGACTGGTAACTCAAGGCCTGGTGGTTCAAACCCACCAGCAGCTGCTCCTCAGAAGGAAGGCTGGGCAATCTACTTCTGTAGTGATACCGCCTCGGAAACCCAAGGAGGGGTCACTATGAGTCGGGTCTGACTTGACGGCATATAACAACACATATATGTAATATATATTTTGAAAAAAAAAAAAAAAGCTTTTAATTAACGCACCCATAGGTGTTTCTGATAAAGGCTCAACTGTCAAAAACTGAGGTAAAATGCAAGCACGAGACTGAAGTCAGGATCAGAAAGCGGAGAGCAGAACCCATGGCCGGCTGTGTCCAGCACAGGGCATGAAAGCTGCTCAACGGCGGACAAGGCCTGCTCCAGCCAGGGGACCTCAGAACCGCGAGAAGAGGCACCCACGTGTTCGGGTCAGCATGTAACAACTGCACGGAGTCATCTACCTAGAGGAGTGCTGCTACTCATACCTGTCTGAACTTCGCACGTGCTTCCTTTTCCTTCATCCTCCCGTGGGCAACCAAGTAGTCAAAGACTTCACCTATAATCGAGAGAAAGTAAGATAAGCACAAGTCCCACTGTGGAAAATCAATTTTCCCAAAAACGGATGGTGTTTTGCTTTTACAGTGTTTAATTTTTATTCTAAAATATGAAGATAGCCAGAAAACGTGAAATCTGAACAGAGCCATGAGTTTAATTACAGGCATTTAAGTTCAGTTCATCAAATCTTTCAGTGAGAGAAAACCCTTGAAATGAAATCTTCATGTTTAAATTACACAACTTTTACTTTAAAGGGTACGTGTTTCAATCTGCTTTAAGGAAAATGGGAAGTTAAGTCAGGTAAGTTATTTATGTCAGAGGAGGAGGCCCTCCCTGGAAGATGAGGAGGAGAAAGCATTTCTGGAAGACTACCAGTCAGTCACTGAGCGCCTGCTGAGCCCACAGGCACTGTTCTAGGAGTTGGGGAAACAGAGCAATGAACAAAACACAGCCTCTTTCCTCACGGAGTTTCCAGTCTAACAGCAGGACAGATAGACAAATGAATATAAAGTTTATGAGGTAACAAGTGCTATGAAGAAAAGCAAAGAAACAGGATGTGTGTATGCGTGCGCACGCAGGCACGCACAGGTGTTTTCTATGCACAGGCATTTGCGATTGTTGGGGTGGGGCGTGAACAGTGCCGTTATCTGGGAGACCAAGATTTCAGGCAGAGAAAGCAGCAAAGAGGGCCTGTGGTTGGAGGAGGTGAGCAAGGGCCAGAGTGCCCAAGAGGACACCAGGAGCAGTCCCAGAGGCTTCCAGAAGGGAGCCCAGAGGAGGGGACAATGTGAAATGTGAAATGATTGGCTGCTGTGGCTGTTATGGGGACACTGGGGGCTGGGCTCACCGAGGCAGGATGACTGTGGCTGGGCTAGAGTGGGAGTGGCAGTGTGGGGCAATGAGAGCAGGCCAGGACACAGTGTGAATGCAAAACAACAGAACTGACTGACATTTAGGTGGTACCCTAACCCACTGCCGTGGAGTTGATTCCAACTCACAGCATCCCCAGGAGACAGAGTAGAAGTGCCCCAGAAGGCTTCCAAGGCTGTCAATTTTTATGGAAGCAGACTTCCACATCTTTCGCCTGCAGAGGGGCTGGTAGTTTTGAACAGCCAACCAAGTAGCTCCCAGGTGGTAACTCCCACAATGTTAATTCACAAGGGAACAGAGGTGACACTTAACGGAAGGTATTAGTCCTGCCAATCACTTACCAATTTAGAATAATGAAACCACCCCTCTGACACCAATACAAAGGAGTACGACTTCAGAAAATGGTGACAGAAAATGTTTTAGGGAAAGCAGCATGCCTGCTTCCTGCAGAGCAAAGCAGACATCCCCCAGGTAGTGGCAGCATTCCTGACACCTAGAGAGGCTGAGTTCGGGAGCGTAACTCAAGAGATTTGTGAAGAGAAGTCAGTCTGAATTGCACATTCATATTTCTTTTAAACTCTTAACCTTAACCTCGACCACCTGACTCTTAAACAATGGACTGGCAGAAATATTTTCATAGGATTGTGTAATCTTTTAAAAGGCAGTAAATATTGTTACTCTGCACTGTATGATGAATTATGAAGTTAAATGCCAGACAGTAAAATGTCAGCCTTTTCTTAGCATGTGACTCTGTGTTTGCAGAACAGGACACAATGTCGCACAGGTGGTCAGCAAGTCAAACAGCTACAGACGTGTGTCTGTCCAACCAAAGAATCCTGCCTTTAAACAGGTGAATGGGTTAAATCCACCAGCTGCTGGAGAGTAGGTTGAAATACTATAGAAGCCTCGAGGAGAGCAGACTGTGGAGGCAAAGTGTTGGGCCTGCAACCGCCCTCAGACTTGAAGGGAAATCAGGAACCCAAGAGGGCCCCCGCACACACTCTCCTCTCTTCCTCACTACACATGTACTAACGCTCGGGCCCAGCAGCAGAGCCGACCGAAGGCTACAGGGAGAACAGGAGCTGGCTGCACTCGGGGCCTCTGAGCTTAGTGCCATCACTTCCAGGCTCGCCCGGTGGGGACCTGGGCGTAGAGCAAGCTCTGGGAGACTCAGCTTTATCCCTAAGAATCAGCAGCTGCCCTGAGTGGTTTCTCAGACTCTTCACAATTCTGAAATCCCAGGACTCGACCGAATCCAAGGGATCAGGCTGCATCACGAACCGTTACCGTTCACAGCGACCAGTGTGTTGTTAATGAGACACCTACCCTGGCGACAGACAGCGCTTTGCTGAGCTGCCTAAACAGCCACACAGGCCTGCAGTGTGCTCGCAGTGCTGACTCAGCACTGCGCTGGGCGGCCTCACAGCGAGCAGGGGCACTGGACACACGGGCCCCACGCCTGTCTCCTCCTCCTAAGTCTGGATGCTTCTCAGTTGTATCTGCCCCACCCCACACACCTCAACGGCCGTGAGCAGAGCTGTGACTAACCTGCCATCTGGAGAAGTGCTATAGTATGAGAGTACCCAGAGACGGGCCACACGGCCAGCACTGTGACTGGGGGGCCATGGTCCCTGGAGGCGGGGGGTTCTGTGGCCTGACACTGTGACTGGGGGAACATACGCAGCTCCCATTTCCTCAAGGGTAAAGCCCTCTCTGTCATGGCCTGGCCTTGCACACAGTCCCTGAGAAGTTCAAAGGCACTCAGGCCAGAGAAGGCGCCTGTCCATTACCGAGGCCACGTGAGCGGGGCTGTGCCACGCCTTTCCATGCTCGGCTTCAGCCACCTGGAACAAAGTGCTCACAACAGGACAGCACTCTGCTGGAACGAAAACCATGACCACACAGGCGGCTGTGCTGCCGCGGCCTCAGCCACGGGCCATCTCATAAAGCCAGCGTGGTTCTTGGGAAGAGTGCCGGCTCCATGCCTGGCACTGGGCTTGAGGCGGGCGGACACACACACACACACACACACACACGAGTCAGCAGCTCTGGGGCAGATGATGAGACTCAAGTGGCCCAATCGCTACAAGCCCAACCCAGTCTCAGCCTCTAAAATCAGTTTTATAAAAGATACACACTCTCTTCAGAAGGATGCCTACATGTATATAAACTTGAGGACAAATAACTGTCGCTGTTGTTATTTTTAAGTGTCACTGAGTTGATTTCAACTTACAGCAACCCTGAGACAGAGGACTGCCCCCACAGGGTTTCCCAGGCAGGAATCTTTACAGGGCAGCTCACTGGGTCTTTCTCCAGTGCCGCATGCTGCGATGGGTTCAAACTACCAGCCTTTGGGTTGGCAGCCAGGTGCTTAACCACTGTACCACCAGGGCCCCTTTGGCAAATAATTATTCGTCATTAATCTTTACTTTTTGGAAGGAAGGTTGGGCAATCTAATTCCGTAGTGATATCGCCTTGGAAACCCAAGGAGGGGTCACTAAATCTAATCATACAGATCCACAGTCAACACCCAGGGAAGCAGCAGCCAAGAAATCAGATGTCATATTGCACTGGGCTAATCTGCTACAGAAGACCCCTTTAAAGTGTTAAAGATGTCACTCCTAACCTGAGCCATGCATGGGAAAGCTAGACAATGAATAAGGAAGACCAAAGAAGAGTTAATGTCTTTGAATTGTGGTATTTGTGAAGAATACTGAAAATACCATGGACTGCCAGAATAAACAAATCTGTCCTGGAGGAAATGCAGCTGGAATGCTCCTTGGAAGTGAGAATGGCCAGACTTGGTCTCACCTACTTTGGTCATGGTGTCAGAAGGGACCACTCCCTGGAGAAGGGTATCATGCTTGGAATAATGGAGGGTCAGAGAAAAAGGGGAAGACCCTCGATGAGATGGACTGACACAATGACTATGACAGTGGGCTTGGCAGTGACTGTGAGGCTGGTGCAGGACTGGGAAGTGTTTCGTTCTATTGTACACGGAGCCGCTCTGAGTCAGGGCCGACGCAATGACAACAACAATCATATGCACAAATGACCATCATTTCTGGCCTTGGGGAATATGGGCACCAATGATGTAACACAAGGTCCTATTTACTTCAAACAGGCCAATACATTAACACAACAAAAATCTGAGAATATGGCACTGTCAGCGAAAAATGCTGATAGTGAGCCAGCTAATGGCAACACAGAATTGCCTGGAGTGTCACCGGTGACTCCAGGCAGATGCAGTCCAATCCTGGATGTGAAGTGAAACTCTGCAATGACTTACTGGGCTATGTGCTTCCTCCTAGAGGGCAGGAAAGGAAGCCCCCTGCAAACAGGAGGACGGGGACCCCCCCAAGACGTAAAACATGAGAAAGGAAACCTCCACACACACAAACGTGGGAAAGTAGAGCCCCTCACACGCAAACATGAGAAGGGAGACCCCCCCAAACAAACATGAGAAGGGAGACCTCCCCCAACAAACATGAGAAGGGAGACCCCCCCCAAACAAACATGAGAAGGGAGACCCCCCCAACAAACATGAGAAGGGAGACCCCCCCCCAAACATGAGAAAGGAAACTCCCCACATAAACACAAGAAAGGAGACCCCGCCCAGACATGAGAAAGGAGACGCTCCCCCACACAAACATGCGAAAAGAGACCTCCCCCAACAAACATGAGAAGGGAGACCCCCCCCACAAACATGAGAAAGGAAACTCCCCACATAAACACAAGAAAGGAGACCCCGCCCAGACATGAGAAAGGAGACGCCACCACACACAAACATGAGAAAGGAGACCCACCCCCAAACATGAGAGATGCCCCCCAAACATGAGAAAGGAGACCCCCCACAAACATGATAAAAGAGACCCCACACACAGACATGAGAAAGAAAATGCACCCCCAAACATGAGAAAGGAGATCCCCCCCAGAAACATGAGAAAGGAACCTACAAACACACAAACATGAGAAAGAAGACCCCCTCCACACAAGTATCAGAAGCCCCCCCCCTCGAAACAGGAAGGGTCTTACCTCCACTGGCATACTCCATGATTAGGTACAGAGTTTTTTCCGTCTCAATGACTTCAAATAACTTCACTGCAGGAGAGATGAGGAAAGGGAGGAATGTCTGTATGCACACTCGGCACACGGAAGCTCCACTGGGGACTGTACGGCTGTGCACACACCACCTGCACCACCCACCACCTGCACCACCCACCACCTGCACCACCCACCACCTGCACCACCCACCACCTGCACCACCCACCACCTGCACCGCAGGGCAGAGGTTATGAAGCAGGGATGTGTGCGCACAGCTGAGTCCGCCTATGCCCACCCTTCATTCTGTGTGGGCCACGGGGTCAGCTCTGCTCCTGCATGTGAGAGGCACTGCCCTTCCAGGGAATGCCAGGGACACTGACCCCACATCTCAGGACCAGGCTCCCTGTGACCACAGAACTGATAGGAAAACAGTAGAAGGGGTTGTGCTGCAATGAACTGACCGGTAGTCACTTCATAAAAGAATTAAATTTTGAACAGATCAGTGCGACTCGCTCCAGCAACCCCTCACTGGACAGAGGAAGAGTACTTCCACTGCTGCTAATTCACGAACGTAACACACCAGTGAGAAACACACACATCTTAAAATGAAACTGCACTGAGTCCTTGAGGCTATGAGGTCATCCTTCTGCACATCTCCTTTATTCAGACACATACTCATTAAAGTTGCACTTCCAGGCAATAAAAACTGGGGCGAATGCTAGTTTCTCGTGTTGCAGGCTATTTTGCAATGCTTTAATGCAGCATTACGCGCTACCATCAAGCAGGTCCTGACTCAGTGGCCCTGCAGGGCAGAGTGGCATTGCCCAGAGGGTGTCCAAGGCTGCCAGCCGCCCAGGAGCAGATCACCAGCTCTCTTCTCCTTTGGAGCTGCTGGGGAGTGTGAACCGCCCAAGGGTCAGCTGGCAACCGAGCGCTCAAACACTGCGCCACCAGGGTTCCTTCCATGCCGTATTAGATGAACAAAGTGCCTCCCAGAGAGGATTTCATAAAACAAGAAATGTGTCTCCTGGCCTGATGACTAAAGTCTGTCATTCCACTCCCTAGATGCAGGGGTATCCACTGTCAATGACGTGAAGACAGGCAAGGCCTTTCTGCTGGTAAATAACCCCCACGCAGCTAAGAACATCTGAAGTTCAACACGAACACTGGCTCTTCTGGGACTGGTCTATTATGACAGGGACTAAACACATCGCAATCTGTTACCACACACATGTCACTCAGTAGCAAGCACAGGGCTCTGAGAAGCGTCAGGGCACACCTCAATAGTTATGAGTTGCCATAGACTCAATGGCAGTGGGTGTTTTATTCACTAACAGGCCATATCTCATGGACTCTTAGGTACAGTTCTTCACGTTTTAACAATGACCAGGAGAACAGCTGCTGTCTTAAACCCGTGAACCCGCTACTGAGGGGTCAAATCCAACCTGACTCTTGGTGACCATGTGGGTCAGAGCAGAACTGTGTGCTACCGGCTTCTCAATGGCTGGTGTTTTGGAAGCAGGTCGCCAGCTTTTCTTGCAAGGAACCCCTGGGTGGACCTGAACCGCTAACCTTTTGGTGACATGCTCCATCATGTACACCACCAGAGCCTCTTTTTCTTTCTTAGTGGGACATACAACACAATGCCATTTACAATGATGGTGGCTTAGAGCTGATGAAAACAGATCTTTTTGTAGAAATAATCAAAGTAAGCAGCTCTGTATAAAAGCTTTTCTCTCCTGTGGTTCCCACATCGTTAACACTAGCTTCTGTTCCTGTGCCTCAGAAATTCCTGGGGAGGTCCTAACATTAACTGTCCCTCCTAACGTTAACCGTCACCCTGACATTAACTATCCTAATAATAACTATCACCCCTAACATTAACTATACTAACAATAACTATCTCCTAACACTAACTGTCACTCCTGACATTAACTATCCTAATGTTAACCACTACCCCTAACATTAACTGTCAGCCTTAATACTAACTACCCTATCATTAACTATCACCCCTAACATTAGCTATCCTAGCATTACCCATCACCCCTAACATTAACTATCCTACCCATTAACTATCAGGCCTAACATCTACCCTACCATTAACTATCACCCCAATGTTAACTACCACCCGTAACACGAAGTCTCCCAACATCAGCTATCACTCTAACATTAACTATCACGCCTAACATCTATCCTACCATTAACTCTTGCGACATTAACTTTCACCTCTAACATTAACCTAATGTTAACTACCACTCCTATCATTAACTACCCTACCATTAACTATCACCCCTACCATTAACCCTCCCAACATTAACTACCAGCCCTGCCACTTCCTAGGGTGGCCTCTGCTGGTAGATGGACCTACTGGGTGGTGTCCAGAGTGACCACCCCTAGAGAGGCGACTGGAGACTACAGGAGCAACACTCCAACTTTGTACCAAAGAACTCTACTATGGGGTATGCCAGATGGGAAGCTGTCACTGGGCTGCAGTCCCACTGTGCTCAGTACTGAGTCCTGTGCACCTTTCACCCGTTTCAGGGTTACGATGCCACAGAAGCACGGCCCTCCCTCATCGTGAAACCTCCGTGCACACCCAGCCCAGAGCTGCACAGAGGACACGTGTAGCAGACCCCGTGCCATGGAATCATCTGCGTCCAAATGCTGCGGGACAGCAGGTTCCCCTCCCTCCTCAGGCCTAAGTCACTGTATGAAGAGGTACTTCCCAGGTGCACAGCCACAGTAGGGGTCAGCCTCTGAAGGTCCTACCTCGGGGACTCCTGCCCTCTCCTAGCTCCTACTGACTGACAATCACGATCGCTCCTAATACACATACAAATCAGGAAACTATCGTTAATCTGACTATAGATGTTCCCACTGGACCAAAGCTTTAAATTCAAGTATATAAGACCTTAGGTTCTACCCTGCCTTCAGAACTTTCAAAAAAATATAAAGGATCAACATCTTGGATATATTTTACTAAAAGTGTAGGTGGGCATGGGGGTGGGAAGGAACTGCCTCCCATGCTCCCAGAATACATGTTCAGCTTTATGACAGACTTTCCAAAAGGCATTTCAGACCCAAAAGTATATAAGAAAGCAGAAAATACCTATGTTTGGATGGTTTAAAATCTTCATTATTCTTACTTCTCTGAAGAGCTAAAAAAAAGCACACACAATTCCCCCAACACAAGTTATTAAACATTACATTCCACTGTTGTAATATAAAATCCAATTACTCTTGAACCACCAATTCATGGCCAATGTTTATTAGTCCAGGCCTAAGACTAATCTGAAAGTCTGACGACTCTGGGATCATTTAAAACCTGTTATTGAATAGCATGACCACATGCTTCAGGTGCCCATCACGCAAGCCAGCAGAGGTCCCACCAAGGGGATGGCACCACAATTTCCTATTGATTTGGCTACCTTGAAGATGTAAGATCACACTGCGTGAGAACATCCTGTGACTGAGTTTCAGCCTGACTGAGCACAGCTTCTCTCCAGGGGCTCAAGGAGTCAGGCTTCACCAGGGGCGTTGGGACTGATAATCCCAGACCCGTCTCTCAGCAGCATGTGAATACACCACCCTTGGGAAACCTCACTGGGGAAGGCAGTGATTTAGCAGAGGCTGTGGTCAATCGTGACACTAATGCCTCTACGAACCATGCCTTGCATAGGTATGCTTTTGTGGAGTGCCCTTTCCACACTGGTGAGGGCTTGGCTATGGAACTTGCTTTGGCCAATGGAATATTAGCAAATGTGCAGCCAGCAGAGGTCGAATGAAATGCTTGGGCATCATGGCTTGCTCTGCAGAAAGGACGTGGTGGCTGGGCATCATGGCTTGCTCTGCAGAAAGGACGTGGTGGCTGGGCATCATGGCTTGC